CACTGAATATTCCAATGAAGTTTACAATAACTTATTCGTCTATCAATGACACAACGATAAAGTGAAAGAACATGTAATAACAATCCAACAAAATAGCGAGGTCGATTTCCGTTCTATGATTTAAGAAGAGATAATAATATTTATCATCAGAGACATCTAGTGAAAATAAAGTGTCAGTTGAAAGAATTTCAATATTTTGTTTTCAAATTGAACTAAGAAGAAAAAGCATTGCAAGTAGAAAACAGACAAACTATTTAATTAAGATACTTTACGTCGTGTGTATGCAGAATTTTTAAAACGCATTACACATCGCCTAATGTTTGGCGTAAATATGAACAATTTATGTATTGTAAGTGGTGAGCGTGTTTTACATTTTTCAAGGTCCAGTGTTGCGCAGTTTTCAAATTTTATCATAGTAAACTTGTGTATAGTGTAAAACCAATTTTGGATGGACACACTATTTCTTTAGCCTTCAGGACCGTTTGTGCTCACCCGTTGTTCTCGATTGAGAACGAAAACTATTTCTACGTCGAATAGACTAGAATATGTATATGTATGAATGGATTTCACCAATTCTGTTTAAATTGTACTAATTATCGAAATTCGATTTAATCTATACTAATAAAAGCAAGATGGTAGTACAAAATTTCTGTTTTGAACGAAAAAAATTATGTCTTTAAAAAAGAATATATTATAAAAGGAATATTAGATACATAATTGTATGTAGCTTTTATTATTGTTACTTGAAAATAGTAACAATCACATATTAACTATAAACGTTTCGACTCTTATCGATTTCTTTTTTTCCTAAAACAATTTCTAAAATTGTGTGGATTGCTTATTATTTCTCTATTCATGTATATACTACTTGTGACATACATATGCACTTTTAAGCATTTGACGCATTAACTCGTTATTTTTACAAATTTTTTGAGAGAGTTCAATTCCATTGTATATATACGTAAATCAATGTTATATTTCGTGTTTGCGATCGTCATTTATGACGAACTTTTAGATTTTATTGGTCTCATTATCCATCCATAAGTAGCATAATCAGGCAAATGAATTTGCCATTGAATGTAAAAAGAATGTTAAAATATACAAAATGAAATTGTGCACAGGAAAAATTATACATTATGGACGTATTCAATACATATGAATAATATGTATATCATTTTAGTCCCATTTTCCTATGTACAAGTATCAATAAGGCTGATAGATTGTAAATAAGAATTTCGAATATTTTATTGATCGTATTACCGATTAAGGAAATACGTTTCCTTTTAGGCCGTTTTCTTCTGTTCTTTGTGTATTGTTCATCATTCATTCATGTTGTATATCTATTTACAGTTCATGTGCTATTTCTTAAATACACTAAAGAGTTTTTCATGCTCCTACCTACTGATACGAGTTATAATGATAGGTAGGATTTTAGAGTCGTAATTTACAAATAATCTTCTAATGTTCATGCAACCATCACCCCTTTTTTAACGTAAATTCGTATTTTGAAATATGACGACAAAGCATTGTACAAATGATATTTTTTAAAGTAACAATATTCGAGTAGACTCAAATCAGAGAATACAATTTATATTATTTTATGTGCTTGATGACTTAGCAAAAGTTAATATAGATTATGTATTTATCCTGATTATCTTTGAACGATGCTTTGTACAAATAAGATTTATGAAATTACGAAAAAAGGGTAATTATCTGCGTATAATTATCTACATATATGTGTATACATCATGTTCATTGTAAAAAAAATGATCGTTAACTCGTTTTTATGTCATTGACATCGATGTCAAGCGTATTGAGGTAGATCGTCGTTCTATTTTCATTTTCATCTAGCGTTATGATATATAAATGTATAATATATTAAGAAAAGTATAATATATTAAGATATAAACTATGCTCATTTTTATGGTTAAGAGAGTTCGACTATTCTTACCTCATGATCGCTTGACGTTGATAAGAATCTAAACTTTTTTACATACTATCATACTGTTAGTAAAGATATAAATGATCCCGCGTGTAATCATTATATTATGGGGGTGTTTAGTTAAGTGAATGGCAGATTTTCCAATTTGTCATTATCATCATAGTACAAATAGCAAATTTAAAGTGTCTATGTTTAGTGTCACTCTTGATCCCTTTAATTTATCAAGCAAATTGTTCATATGTTTTATGATTCTTGGTGATGCATTTTGTGCTTAGCCACCGTGCTCATGTTTTGTATGTCTAAAAAAAGTATGCATAGAAATGATATTTCTACAATTAATTGTTATTGAACCAATTACAAATTGGTTAATTTATGTAGTATCTATTATATCTTGTTAATTAAAAATATTATAATACATATAAGTGACTTTTATGTGTTTCTTGAAGCCTTGTAATAAGATAACAATATATAATTTGTATTTATATGAACATTTATTAATGGCAGTGAAAGAATATGTAATAGTCATTTGGTATGGAAGAAAATTACAAACCTGCCTCATCAAATAGAAATCAAAATCTTTACTCGATCAGAAAATATGTTACAAAATGAACAAAACGTGACATAAACAGATGGCACTACAGGATTCGCTATATATTTAATCTTATAATACTGTAAATACTACCTTTATTATATTTTATACTCTGCTGTTTGCACATTAGTGATTTTTACAATTTCTTTCTGTAAGATAACATAGCACAATTCAACACGATTGTGTTATACATCCTTCTTGTACATTTCTATACATATATCTTTACAAGTAAAATGACAATTTTCGAATTATTGTATGATCGAATTACAATATTGATTTGCTGTGCAAGCAATGTCAAAAATTTTTATGTAAAGCGATCGTCTCTCCGTAATCTTGTTTGTAAAAATGGAAACGAAGAAGAAGAGAGATAGAGAAAGGGAGAGAGAGAGGGAGAAAACGAGAAAGAAAGGAGAAAAAAGAAAGTTGAACTTTATGATGACAGTATTACGCTTCTGCGTAAGGTAACCGCATAGTAATATATTAATCATTACTTTTTAGAAATACTGAAAACTAATAATTTAAATTAAAATCTCCATCATGCAATATGTGAGTCGTTTTCTATTGTCAGATATATATATATATTTTTCTTTTTTTTCTTTTTCCAAGCTTGCACAGTTGTACTTTGACACGAAAATTGGAAATATTAGTTCCTATTCTTTTTCTCATTTCACTATGTAATGAAATAAAAACGACACATATATTCGCATTCGTATTGTGTGTACAGAATTAATTACCGACTAAGCATCATTGTACAGGCTAATTTAGCTTTTAACTTCGGTGCTCTCGAAAACTTATCGAACACTATGTAAATTTCGCCGTAGCTATTAGGATACCTGCGAATGTAATTCGCTTTTTATGAGCTTCTTTGAAGAGAAATGCGCCTCCAAATTATACTACACTTTGCACATTACATGAAAGCATAATAAAAGTTATATAACTGTTTAATTACAGTTATCGTATATCTTTATTAAGTACTTTCACATTCATATATGTATATGACCTGAATACTTTTATATTAATTTTATATCCACGTTTTTATGTATATATATTTATACTCAATTCGAATATGTTAATATTGGTGAATGATAATCAAAGCAAGGTGTTGAGAATTATAAGAAACTTGTAATATTGGAGGTGTATAGCTCTTCGTAGATTGCCAAAGAATGATAGAAAATATAACTGAATTCCGTTTCTCTGTTTTTTCAAATTGAGAAAAAGAATTGATATTACTGTGCACGATGAGGAGATTCATGCAGAAATTTATAAAAATGTTTACAGTCGCGTTGTTCAGTGCAGCATAGATATTGAAATGAATGAATCTAAAGACAAGAGTTTACCATGTATACAAACATTAATTTCGAGGGACTCGTTTTCCGCTGTTTAATGAAACAAAATTAAAGCAAAAAAGATGTTAAACATGATTGAATTAAATTTTTGTCTTTTTGTTTACATGATTAGCATTAAAAATTGGTCTTAAGATTGTATATCTAGTAGATCGCATTCTTGCAGTAATCATTTCCTAATTTTTGTTTCCAAATAAATTAAATATGATTAAATGATAATACAAAAACGAAACACATATATAGAGAAGCATAAATAATGGGATGAAAAAAAGATAAATTCTTAGTATATTCAATACTGAAATATTATAACAATTGGAATAATGTACACGTATAACTTGTGTCAAGACTGAATTATCAAGACTTTGTAGAAAGCATAACATTTTTGTAAATAATACTGCCTGGGATAAATATATGTAGAAATTATATGAAAAAATTGCAAACATTGCAACCCTCGTTCAAATATGTATTTTAATCCTAATGTCCTGTCTATTTCATAGCATCGATATGCGTTCCTCAGTATATTTAATTGTTTCAATAAAAACAAAACAGAAAGTACAGTAAGATAATAAAATATTTAAAATGATAAGTTTATATTTATTACATAACAGGATCTTAAAGTAACTGCAAGACTGGCCGCCCTGCAAAGTATTACAGACATTATCACATTAAACACTGTCAACATAACTGACAGTATTTCTTCATGTTCTTGCTGGACTGTGATTATTTTCCTGCTAGTTTATAACACATTATTTGTCCCCATAGAATTCTGCTATTCTTAAACATTCTGTTGTTTTCTTGTTTTTTGTTTTCTTTGCTTTTTTCTTCTGAGCATTCATCTAACTAAGAAATAAGTAAAGAGTTCTGCTAAGCATATAGGATTCATTTAGATCATGACTGTCAGAAAAGAACAATTTGGCCAGCGCTTCCAATGTAGGTATATACATACTTATAGTACACGAACGAACAAAGCGTGTATGTTTGGTAACTTGGTAAACAAGGCATTTTGCCCATTTACCTTATCATGAGATTAAAAAAGAAAGAAAAAATCACGATCGATAACGAGGATTCATTCCTCTGTATAGCTATTGAAAAGTTGCAACCTTAATTTATGATTTTTTATCGAGTGAAGGTTCTAATCGAATTCCCAATCGAATATCTCGACGACGAAAACATCGAAAAACTTCAAATCGAAAGATAGAACGATAAATATAGGTTTCACTTTCCATAAATGATCAACGGTAATATTTCCTTTTCTTCCTTTTGTCATAAGTAAATCTACGTTTCTTTTTAATCAAGTTTTAAAGGTAACGGACATAAATGTAGTCAAAGTATGGTTTTTTGCATCACGCACCTTTTTATTCTAACTCGACGATGCAGTTCATGAAAAAATTCAAGAGTAAGTAATAATGAGTTATACACACGCGGATGATATTAATTTGTACCTGTATGAGAAAATAATCGTAAAGGCACGATACTCGAGGCGATCTCAATCAAAGGCACGTATATTTGATAGACGATGGTGCAGACAAGAGTCTCTTAGTAATGAGTAAGCACTGCAGTTTGTCTCTCAATTTTTATTCAACATACTGTGTGTAACTGAGTTGTTCAATACGTGTACAGCGTGGATCAAATCCCAAGCACGTAATCATCTAAACTAAACGACACCTATAACAAGACTGATTCATTTTTAACATATACAGAAAAAAAAAGAAACTCGAAGAGCAATATTAGTAATTGTATTGGTTGCTACATATAAAATGTCGTTTTTTTTTCAAATAAAACTTTAACAATATGTGATTTCGTCAAAATACCACATATTTAATTCAAGTAATTTCCACATGATTCATTATCTATTATTTATTATTTTAGGTTTATGAGAATTATCAGTTCTAAAATTCAAAAGGTCTTGAGGTGAAGCTGTTACAATTTCTTTTAAGATGAAATAGGGAATATCACGTCCTTCTCCAAATGGTAAATACATATATGTATACAGTAGCTTTCATGGTATATAAGAAAATTATACGAATATTATAATTATTCGTGACGGCCAATAATAAGGCTGTGATGTTTTAAATATGTAAATCGTCTTAACGTTACATATACTTGATTTATAATAAATTTCCTCTTCTTATTTGTAGTTGATAATTGGCAATAAGACAAAATTTAATGGGTCATACCATCAACGACATTTTCATATGCACCAATCTAAGAGTATTTTCGTTGACAAAAGCGATACAACGAAGGATGTCAAAGAATTTTCGAATTACGAGACTTATCATGAGACTCACGATCGAACATTATAATAAGTATGGTACAAATTAATAATCGCGACTGTTTTATATATACTTTTCATTCTTATTCATTGTTTATATTTATAGATCGACCTTTTATCGTTCGGTGCGTGCGATTTGATTCGTACTGCATGAAAGTTCGCGAAACGCTGTAACGCAGTACAATCGATAATAATAATCAAGATTCAGGGAGGCCAATGTGCGTTTCAATCGTCGTTTTGCGATTCGAATCATCCGGAGGTCGCGGAATCGAATAAGATCGTAAAACGTTAAAGCCTTATCGTTTACAACGCAATCTATAATTAACGATTCTTTCAGAAAGAAAGATAGAAAAATAGACGTGTCTCTAAATACGATACGATAATAATATCTCTTGGCGCGTTTGGAGATCGTTTCCTTTCCTTTTTCTTTTTTGAAGAAAACGATATTCTTTCGTTGCCACGATTTAAACGTAATTCGGAGCAAATTCGAAACGTTTATACGGTTGAAAGCAATGAATCGGTCGTTCTACACGCGCACGACAAAAGAAATTCAAACTGAAATTTTGTTCGCTACCATTTTTTTTTTATTCTGAAATAAAATGTTGGAACGATCCACACTATTGTCGGTTTTGTCTCGTTCTATGTGTCGCTATACGGATATCTTGGTCGAAGGATCGAAAGGTTAACGATTAATTCTTATCTGGTAAGTAATTAGTGTACGTTATTCAAATATTAAAGATTTTTCACCCGGAGTTTAAGTCGCCGCATCCCATCGTAGTAACAAAACGTAATGAAAGCGAGGAAAAATGATTTCGCGACTAATGAAATTGCCTCACAGGAACTATGGATTGATTCGTGCATAAATGGAAAGTGGTGAAGGCAGGATGGATGGATGAGATAATGGAAAACGGTCGAGATCTGTAGAAATGATAAATTAAAAAATATATAAATAATAGATTAAATTTAATAATTAATAAAAAACAAGAAATATAAATAATAAATTGAATATGTGGAAACAATAGATGGCATTGAATAATCGGTCCCGACGTGACGCTTCCCGAAATTGCTCGATACATACAGATATATGTACATACATATAGGTCTACATACAGGTAAGTACTTATGTGTACATGTATATGCATATATGTATATGTACATAAATTGGGTGTTTGATTCGCGTCTATCATTTTTCTTTTATAATATCTACAACTAAGGGCAGTATGTACAAGGGACAAAGGAATGTGAGATTTATCTTTTCCTCCGTAGCCGCTATACGACAGGCCAGCAGTACAATCTATTCGATATAGATATCCTCTATCGGGAAAGCAGTCTCGATGAACTTCGTGTAGAACCGATGGAAAGCACGCCTACGAAAGAAAACATAATATACTTACATATCAGTAACCTTTTTAACAATCGTAGGTGGTTTGAAACGAACGTTGGTTTATACGGTGGCTTATAATGTTCAATGAAGAGAACAATTTAAATTACATAACGTTACGGCCGATAAAGAAAAATTTGTTTTAACTCAGTCGTGAAATTAACCCCTTGTCCTTTAATTACAAGAATGATTTAGTTGGTTCATGACTAAACAGTAACTATTTATTGCTATAATACAACTTTTATTTAACACTCTCGGTCTAAGGAATTGAAACTGAAGATAGAGTTCTGAACGTAATCTATCTTTATTGAATCAAGAAAGGAATTCTCATGAGTACGATTTTATGTTGTGAGTAAAGGGGTTAAATGAAATTATGAATTATAATAAAAACAAATTGACAATAAGAAAGTACAGGGAAATGCATACCCGACGGCTTCGGCAACGGGCCTCGTAGATTCTTGACCGATGAAAACGTGGCAAGCGAACCTTTGCAAGGTAGGATGCTTCGTGATGAAGCCGAGGTAGCGATGATCACGAGGATGAAACGCGCAAAATGAAACATTCTTAAGCGAGTAGAAATAATCGTGACAGGGTCCTTGATTCTTCTGCAAAAACATAGCGTACCATTTGTTTAAAAGAAAAGGAAAGAATAGATACGATGGAGAAGGAAATTTAAGAAGAACTTTTAAATCTTGAATATACCCGTGGTTTACTTCTATCGACCATTCGAAGACCCTGATCGGACACTTCCAAGATACAGCTTTGTGAAACGGGAGATTCTTGCGAGTTTCCGACAATTCTTCGAACTGCTTGACAAACGACACCAGTGCCTTTATGCGCCAATGTCTCCACAGATCCCAAATAACCAAGAAGGTATCTTTCCCTCTTCACCTTCGGCGCCGAGGGATCAAAGTCACTGTAATCCATGTCGACCGCGTAAGCCGAGGGGAAGATACCTTGGCGACCTGTTCTCAGATTCACACCTTCAATACGAACACAAACATATAAACATATATCAATCATTACTAACAAGTTCATTGTCATTGATGTTCTTTAACTTGAATTTCAGATCGTTCAACATTATGTCATAAGAAGAGTTTCCTTGATCTTATCTAGGAATAATTAAAATTTTGTGTGATTGCTCAAGATAAAGAACGGGTTGGTCAAACCTAAGAGTCAAAGAATATTCGAACCTTCACACCATAGATCGTCAGCCTCTTTTTGAACGTAAATAGGATCACCGATTTCGAGGTCGATCTCATCATGATGTCTTGGTACGAATTTGTGCAATCCTCGATGCGTCGCCTCCAATAGCTCTAATTGAGTAAAAGGCACACCACCGCTTCCTTCGAAGCAACACGGAAACAAATATAATGGAAATTATAATGTAAAATTGTATTGAAAGTTGCAATGAACAATGACATTTCATCGTATGAGAAACAAATAGAAACTCTTAGCACGAAACACACGACCAAGTAAAACTAAGTAAGATATTTATATATAATTTACGAGAATGATATCGAGGAAAAAATCACCTGGTGTACTACTCGGCGAAACAGAGTCAGTGTTCTGTAACGTGTTACAGGGAATCGGCGACACACTTTTCGGTCCATTTTCCGGCGAATGGGCAGTGGAATGACCACTGTCAGTAGCCATTCGCTCGCTATCAGGTGAACTATCCTCATGACGAAGCCTCGAGTGACATTTTCGTAAGACTAAATGCGGCCGGCTAGAACTCGAACCAGTTGCTGCATTCAATTCATCTGCCAGAGACGACGACGACTGCGTAGACGTCTGACCGATAGACAGAGCTAAAAAAAAAAGCAAATATTTTACAAAACAAATAAATTTATTCAAGCAATTTGAATAATTAATAAATGGCTACCTTCTTCCCGAATGAGCAGGTACTTCAAATCATGTAAATTTAACATGTTTAATTTTCATGTATAAACAATGATAGACTACTCATAATGCGTTCGACGCATATTAGTACAAATGTGATCACAGGTCAATAAGTCTCAGTTATATGTATCTTCAACAAGTGACGTGACGTAAGTTAGATGTCATTATGGATTTTCTTTGGTTGCGGTCGTCGATTCTGCGGTTGAATGCATGGTATCGTCAAGATCGGTGAATCAAAACAGGTGATGAGAAACGCAAAAGATAAGGCTGATTCGCGATGGATCGTGTTACACATTGAGGGTCACGTTGCCAAGGTATCGTAACGTAACAATCTTTTCCTCGCTGACCTTTTATAGTATAAAATATCGTAGCAATTTTATTGTATATCTATTATAACCTTTTTGATTTTTTGATTTACAAAGGAATGGAAGAAAAAACCATGAACAAAGCTGAATTGTCTCTGATAAACTATTATGACTACTACAGTTCTATAATACGTAATTTAAGAAGGATTTAATAGTTACTGGGTGATATTATGTCTAAAGGGTTAAACATATGTATATGTATATATGTATATCGATATTTACAGTTTTAAGTTTCTTACATTTCTTCGTTTTAGGAATTTCCGGTAATCTCCGACGTCTGCGCTCGGTGCTACCACTTCCAGGACGATTCGAGGGTACATGTTCAGGTGTCGGCCAGGAACTCAGACTCGAACAGGAATCCCCGACGTCGCTGACTACGCTATCTCTACCACCGTTACCGGCTCCGGCAGCGCTACCTCCACCAGGGCCCGGTCCACCGACGCCTGCCGATCGACCCCTGCTGCTCAGTCCACCGAACAAGCTAATGTCACCCAAGGGTAGTCGTGTAGTGAGCTAAGCTACCTTTCACCATGCCATTTAATGTGTGTAGATTTTACTTTCTTTTTCTCTCTAATTGGGTTTCCACAATAGTGAGTGCCACTAATAAATTCCCATCACGATTGAGAACGGATAACAAAATTTGTTTCTTTACACAAAAGCACCACGACACTCGTATCCTTGCATGCTTATATCTTTTCTGTTTAATCAATCAGCGGAATGGTCATTCGTTTTTCCTTTTTATTGTAATAAATTTCATTTCATTTGTCGGTCTATATCACACGCAATTTCAGATCCTATCGCGTATAGTGCCTAATGTTATGTAATCTGTTCTCAATGCTTTAACGACAGGGGGAGATCATTTCTTCAGGAGATGCAAGAGGATACACAGATGACACTGGAACGCACTGCACGAGTCACTATCCTAGTCATAAGTAAATCGACGTGCAAATTTGCCTTTACCATAGTAGCATTTCTAAAATTAAAAAAATATCGATAGCTTTTTTTCTTGGAAAGAATAACGAGTGCTTAAAAATAATTATAACCTTGTACATCTATAAAGATTTAATTGGAAATGTTTAAATTAATAGAGGAACAAAAACTTCTTGCATGCAGAAATTACAAGAAGTTGCATTCAAAGAGGAAACATAGATGCACGACTAAATTTAAATTTGAATTTAAACAGGCCATCTAAATTGTTTAATATCAAACGACGCGTAATTTATTGAACATGACATATGGTTGGAAATAATTAGAGGCTTGCCTACTCATTTCGAAAATTATAACTAAAATTTAATCTATTCTTTGAGTTAATTTCTCGTGAGCAAGGAGTCCTCTGATTATCTCGAACAAAATTCAAGACGAGTTAGTTAAAATTGCCACTTTGATTTACGCTTATATCAATATCATTATAATTTTTAGAGGAAAATTCTGACTTAAACAAAAATTGCACGATCTCTCGATAATTTTTCAATTCTACAGTCTTGAATCAGAAATATTGATCTATGGAATTTATATGTTCGCAGGCCAAAAGAGAAGTAGTGTGCACTTACGATGTTACCAACCTAAAGTCGCTATCAGCGACGATGGAACAGTTGTGATCGAGATCTTCGCTATCGTCACCGGAAGTGTGTCCGCTCTGATTCTCGTGCCGATGAATGACCACCACTTCCTCGTCCTCGGAATCGCCTGCGACTCCATCGCAAGATCTCTCGACCTCTGGGTCGCTATCCTGCGACGAGGTCGGTGAATCGTCTATCATCACATCGTGAACGAGCCTGTTTTCAGTAATAGTTCGCAGTATTAATTATTGAAATTGATCATTTAAAATATAAAACTTTTAAGAGCAAAGATCAAATGTTACTAATGTTCTTACCAAACACCAGCAATGATCATTATATTAAATTCTTGATTAATTTTAGAGGCAAAGAGTGAGACACGAAGAAGTTTTAAGCGTGAAACTAAGAAATTGAAAAAGCAGGAGGATGATATTAACAGAATGAGAATGTAATGATAACAGGAGCTGTATCTGGAAAGTCTATGTTTGTATGTACCAGGGAATCGACTATACGACTGTTAGTGAATCTTATATCATGTAGATGAATGATATATTCTTTAGATTAATTTTTCTACTAAATAATTAAATGTTTTATAATATAAAAATGACGTTCTTGTTATACAACGGATAATATGAAAGGTATATTTTCGTTTCTAGGGAATAAGTAAGATCTTTTATGTCATATTCAACGAATATCAGAATCAATTGAAACTTCCTAACAAAAATAATATGTCGTGTTTTAATACGTCTTCTGTTAAAGTATTATCTATTTAAAAAGCAAGTGAATCAAAGTTGACAGATCGGAACTGCCAGGAAACGTTTCGCGACTAAGAAATACTCGGATACCATTGTCCAACAGGTAAACGACGTGTTATTTTAATCTTGTGGTTTGCGGTATATGTATACGTATCTTCTACAAACTTCAATGTTCATATCGCTCAACAGTTATATGGAAAATTATATTTTATTTTTCTGGAAAATATAACGGTTGTTTTATAAATATAATTATTTATTATTATCGAAAACGGAGAGATGGTTAGTCATTTTAAATCCGATTCTATTTACGAACCTCGAAACTTATAATCAATTCGTCGCTGTAAAGAAATGGGGACGACAGATTAGATAATTAACGATAAAAACTGAGTCGTGACTGGTCCATTAATAGCGCGTGCTTGTTTTGTACAAAAGGCAAGTAATCGTGACTGACAGCTAAAGTGGAAATCGTTTCACGTATACGATAGACTCCAATTGATTTTATTTCATTCTATCTTGCCATTGCATCGAGTATCGTTGACCGTAAATAAATAAAATTTTTACGCACATTTTGCATTTTCAAATCACGGTTGATCACTTGCGAAAATACCATTTGATTTATAGATTTGACTTATTAGTAGCAATAAAGGAGATACTTCATTTTTATATTTTTGTGTTTAAGATCTCTACATTAATTCGTTATTTTTTATGATTAAAATAGACAAAGTAAAAGGATGTTATTTATACACTTGTAAAAGTAAAAAGGAAGAATCTTATAATAGTAAATCAAAGATGACATATAACGTTAAAAACGGTAAAGTAATATTTGATTTAATCATAATATCAGTTTAATAAAATATTAAATTTGTAGCTTTTCTTATGGAAAACGATAACATTTGGCAAGTGTCGTATATATACTGCATTCTTCCGCACTGAATTTATTTCACAGACAGGGAACAGCATCGACCGCGCCTCCACAGTGTATCTTTTTGATGCACTTATACCTTACCCCTTTAATCTCCTCCCGAATGTGCGATTCATCGGGTCGAAACCTACTCCCTAAGCAATAAAATCCTAACGCAACTCGACTCGAAATGTATTGAATTAATCATCAGTTACAGAAACACAATAACGCTTTTCCGTAATGGTTAAAATTTTGCAATGACGAAGCTATGTGAGACCAGATTAATAAAAAGGCCACAAGTATTTCTACAAGAAAGTAATCGTACTACTACAAGTTAAATCAAGAGGGTTGCTTTTCTTCCCATTGTAATCACATACAATTAATTCCCAATTTCACAATTGCTACAATAGACATGCTATATCATAGACGTTCATTTACACCGAACGTTGCCAATTAATCTCATCTCGTCTCTACTATTTTTACAGCTCCTTACAGCTCGACCCTAAAAAACACGATCACCTACTATACTGTCAGAAGCCTTGTCACAGTGTCGATAGCGCAACCCCTATTTAAGGAGGTGTACTTTTACGTCAAAGATCGTCCTAATTCAGTCATCGTAGCAAAAGCCAACATGTTCAAAAATCTACCTTTCTAATAAAACAAGGAAAAAGGAAGAACAAGTAAATTATACACTCTACAAATAGAATGTCCCATCGACGTGTCACCGATGTGCGTTTCACGCCATCCTTTCTAACGATTCGCCTTCAAACGTCAGAGACATCGCACGTTGTACAGGAATATATTCGGAAAGGCAAAACAGGAGAATGGAACGCCATGTACTCACGTGTAATTGGAAAGTGGTGCCTTGAGATGCTGCGGAAGCCTCTCGAAATAGTGTCGAAATTCCTCAAATTCGGTATCGGCCATTCTGCAACAACCAGCGAAAAACAGACGGCGTGGGGTCGGTCCTGAAGGCGGCCGTGACGGCCTGATGGAGAGCTGCTCGGCGACCCCCGGAAAACCGTTAGGGCCAAGATGTCGCTGACGTTGGGGACGACGTCGGTCGAGTACCACCGCTTCGACGCTACTCGCGACGCCCTATTGATTCCTGCGTGGTAAGCGTCGCGCACACCCCCGCGTGCACTCGATGATTTTCCGTGAACGCGCCGCCAGGAAATCGAACGGGAGAAGCCAGCCGGCCGAATGTAAGCCGAAACGCCTTGGCGAACCATAGCTCCTCGATTTAATATTTCAATCGAGCCGACCCGATCCGAACTGACGACTTTGAAACGCGCAAAACCAAAAATATCGACACACCATGTACTGAGATCTAACGACCAGTTTTTTACTTCGAAACAGGAGGGTGAATTTCCCTTCGATGGAACGGATGGATCGAGCGGTTTGCTTTCGTTAATGAGAAACCTTTTAACGCGTTCGACGTCCACTATAAATTGTGTATGTACGTAGATGGAGCGTGTTTCTTCGGGGGATCTTAGAATCGTGGCTTTTTTTATTTTTGTATTTTTTAGTATGATGAGAAATTTGATTTTTACAGACTTGTAACGATAAGCTATTTTTGTGTAGAATGATTTCTTTTGTTTTATGACGAGGATTATTGCTATCATTCGTTGAATTATGCGATTTTCTGAGTCGACGAAATGTAGTATATCGCTACAAGCTAACATTGAATTTATAATTATGAGTATTCATGTTCTAATTACACATACACGTCTTCAAAATAGTAACTTTGATAATATGAAAGTGCATAAAACTCATAATTTGACGATCGGAAGAAAAAATGTGCAAGACGAACGTGCAATTTTTAATATAAGAAAATAGATAGCAAACTAGACGAAATACTAAAAACAATTGCGAATGAAATATTGCATTAACTCAGCGTTGATTTTTAATGAATTCATACCAAAGGCGCTTATCTTAAAGTTCAATCCACTTAGGAATTAAGAAAACCGTCATCCATAAATAGATCACCTTTGAACTGCCAAAATGGTGGCAAGTCAAGAGCGTTAATTTTTTATATTGGTTGGAAAGAGTAGTTAGTATAGAGTAGCAAATTCCAGAAGGAAACGTTCTACGTGTCCTACATTCGAATACTATATTCTCGAATTATGTTTGTATGGGGATATCAGAAGTATATTTTAGGACGCATAGTAGTGAAGTATAGACTTAATGAAAACGAACTGTAGTAGAAGGGGAAGTTGAGATGAACGATCCAGGAAGAGTAATTAATGCCGGTTAATCGAGTTAAGGAAGTTGCGAGCGCTTGAAGTTTAGTGAAACACCTTGCGAGCGACCTTGCGTTTCTTCTCGATTTCCTGAATCAGAATCCTTAGCGTTTGAAGATTTCGTTATTTAGTTATATAAAATACAATTGGCAAGAAAATAGCACGACAGTTTGCATTCGATCCGCGCCTAAGATTAAATTTGTTCGTAAATCTGCCTATAAAGTAACAATATCGTTTTCGATCTATTTGATTGTAAAATGTTTCCTTTTTTTCTACCGTATCTTGACTTTTATTCGTCTTCTCGTGCAGCCAACTTCTTCCTTTGAATCACTCGTGCTGAGAATGCGCTCCAAGAGGATCTTCCTGTCTGCAAACAGCGAATACTCATCGTCTTGTCCTTACTTAGTTGCCTATTTTTCACTAATCGATTAAATGGTTTGAAGAAGCCGATTTGTATTAAGACTTCAGTAGAAGAATTAAGAAGAAAGTAGAGACCCAATTTATATGGAAACTGATGATAAAATGATGATAACGGGCGATTTTTTCACAATAGGTAGATAAAAAGTTGTGTATTTTACTTAACTTTTGTAAGTTGTGTATCAAAATAGGTAGATAATGTGTTCATCACTTTTGTACATACTAAAAGCTATATTATTTCAGGATATCGATTATACGTACCACAATAATCCAAGGATTATAACATTTTATAAACATTTAATATCCATACTAGGATATATTAATTCGATAACTTTGGAATTATCCGTTTTCGAAATAACTATTTTAATCTTAAAAACTTACAAAAGCTTCGTATTTTGAATTAAGTTGCTGATGACATGGAAAAGAGATGGTATGTAAGCATACAGAAGAAGAAATGAGAAGTAGTGATTTTGTTGCATAAGATCTTGTGTCGGGAAGGTTACAAAAGCAACAAGTTTGTATCTTCATTAAGACGTCTTGCAATATGTACTATATTTTTCAAACTTGGCTACAGATTCTAATTTTCAACTTGTTTAATTCGTCTCATTTTAGTCTGGCGCGTTAAAATGAGAAGTAGGAAAAGATACAGAAGAATCCATCGAATCCAAACTACGACACATTTTTTGCGATAGAATGTAGTATTTGAAAAGAGTGGTGAAGGTTTAAAGAGACGGTTTCGATGATTAGCCCTCCGTAAGCAAACTGGGTCGTCGACAACCCAAGCGAGATTTCACTCTTGAATTTCTTCGAAACGAATTCTTATTTCTATTGAGTAAAGTTTCGAATGTTTGACTTAACGAGCGATTATAATGTAATATAACGTAATATATATACGTTGATAAGTATAGACCTCTTATAAGCTTTCCAGAATTTATAGAAGCTTAGAACAATAACAAAGATTAGGCTTACATATAAATGACCCAGTTTGCCAACCCAACCCAATCTTGCTTCTTCCAACGGAGTATTAAATTTATATTACACTAACCATAAATAAAATATTAGTTATATTTAAGAAACCATCGAATTGATCTACGCGTTCAATATTTAAAGTTTAGTATAAAAATATTAAGGTGCTTGCATTGATTCATTCATGAAATTGACATTAGTTTCGAACAAAATCTATATTATTATCGTAAGTTGTTTGATAGATCCATAAAGACGAAATATATGTATGCATACATGGCTCGCACACCTTTCCAAGGAAGCATATTTATAGATCCTGGCACTAAACAAGAAAAAAGAAGGGGTATCGACCAATTTAATCCGTGTGCTTAGAAAACAAGTTGTTATAATTATATCGTTGATGTTGTACAAAAATTTGTATAAAGGATTTCGTTTCTTAGATAAAGATCGAATTGGTACTTTGTGTTTCAACGATATCTTAATCTTAAAGTTATTAGTAAAACAACAGAAGCAAATTACAAATGTTGAACTTTGGGCTCAAAGGACGACAGTATGATAAGAGATATCATGCTTTGTAGAATCTCTGTGAATGGGAAGTGAATTTGGCGATACGGGTAAAGGATGAATAGTACAATAATTACTTATGTTCATACGACATATACTGCATGGACCGTCCAAAAATAAAATTTTTATCGAGTACAGAAAGATACGAAAAATTAAAAAATTTAACATAAAATAGGAATAAGTACCTAAGCTGATATTATGACTACAGCACTTATCTTTTTTTTGTGTTACAGTACTATAATTATACATATGTTAATATTTCATAATTATGCAATTAGATGCAAAAAAGATAAGTATTTACACAAATGCCAGAATATCATCTTTTTTTTAATATCACAAGTATAAATGCATATGTATCTTTATATTTACTCTTATTATAAAGAAATTTTTTAAATAACCATAATAACAATCGCAGAACTGTTAAGTGAGAGCCTTACTGAAGAATCCACACTAGCAGATCTTGGATGAAACACTCACTTTTTCTCTTCTCTCATTGTGTCTAAGGTATAGGTTTGTTAGGTAAGAGAACAATCACAGAAAAAAAATTAATTAACAAATGTAACAACCATTCTCAGTTTAGGCTCACTTAAATATATGAAACAACACGGAAGTACCGAAAAGAAACTTTGTACAATGTAGTAAAATATTTTCTGCAAAAAGCAAAACTATCTTACTAAAAGCTTTCGATTTTTTGTCAAGATTCCATCGGTACTTTTAATTATTCTCGTGTTACTAAAGTAACACAGTCTCAACACTTTAACACTTTAAACAACAGAATGTATCGAAAATCGATGCGACCGATTGTTTCAGCAAAACATTATAACACAGTGTCTCTTATCTACTAGTTAAATCTCGCTATTTATCAATATTGCCTGAAAAAATAATCCAAAAGATATTTTCCGCGACGATTTAGTGACTGGCAGACGGGGCCGATAAACGAAAGATTCTCTCCGCAGATCGAACGATACTCTCAATTCTCTTAATGCCAGAGGAACGCTCGGTATAATTCAACAAGGGTGCTAGCTGATAGTCGTAAGTGATGGACATTGGTAATGTGCTGCATCTGCTTTGCCACGAGGCGGAGGAGTGTTCTCGGCTGTTCGAGCTTTTATTAAACAGCCTCTTTGTTCTGTGGAAAAGATACACAAAAGCGAGAATGATTGTCTCGTTGAAAAAAAGAAACGGAAAAGAACGAAAAAAATTAAATTCTCCGAAGAAGATTACACTTCTCTAAAAGCACTTCTCCATTTAGGTATGTGGTTCACACTCACTCGCGATATCGTTTCACAATATTTTCACAATCGTGGATTTAGTAATTCAGAAATGTTAATAATACGATAAATTGCGTAACATTTTCTACGACACGTCGTCTATTACAGACATATACTTGCTGATATTTAATAACAATTGAAACGTGTTATTAACTTTATTAACTTATGACTAGCAACATTATATATTTAAACAGAAAAATAAATATCGAGAAAGAAATCCGAAAAATCTTCGATGATGTAATTGTTACCAAAACAAAGTCAAAGTCGAAGGAAGTATCACGAGTTGCTAAACGAACGCGGAAAAGCGTGAACTCGGTAAATCGATGGTTGGATTCGTGTCTTTTCCATGGTAGACTAATTTCACTTGGCCCAGAAACTCTGAGTATAAACGTATGGTGCGGATGGGAGGGAAGAAATCTTTGGAGAATAGCGAAGAGGGGTACCGAAAGAAAAGTATAACATCCCTGTTTCGAAGACCTTGCAATCTCTTCTCCCCATTCACCGTTGCTAGTTCTTGCGCCACCCACATTTCGTGCACTCCAGTGACGTCACACAGAATACATTGTGGAACCGGCACAGTTACCGTTAAATGGGGTGAGCCAACACTCCTCTTCAACCCCATGAAAAGTCTTATCCGACCAATGGGGGAACTTCGTACTACTGTGCGCCGACCAATCGCGAACAGATCGTCATTGAGAAGGACACGTACACGGAGGGGACCGAGGTCTTAAGAAGAGCAGAAGACACTGGTACCGGGACACTGTCGCACGCGGTGCTTAGAGGGACGATTCATTGGATTAACAGCTATTGCCGATTCCGTCGAGAGAAACTGTTTCAGTGTTATCCAAGTTCAACATTTAGATAGATTTTTAAATAGAAATACTTACTTGCATCGTTCGATTGATTTTCTTATTGGTGAGCGAAAATATTATATATTACAGTATAGATAGAAAATTTTGTTGAAAAATTAGAAAGTTTGTTCAGTTTGAATCGAGGATCAGTATGAGTGGTTCCGGAAAGGGCCTTCTCGGGGTGTGGCTATACAGAAGAGGCGAACACTGGGCCATTAAAGAAGGAAGTCCCATACATAAGTCGAGCGATGTGCGTTGATTTTTGAACTGTTGTTACAAGATACAAAATGCTTTTTTTAACTCGTTGTTCTTTCTTCTTCGACAAATTCATGTTCCGAGTTTCTTAATTGTTCCAAGCTGGAGCGATCTTTCTAATCCTCCTTTTCTTGAGACCTTTTCTCGTACCTATATGTATTTCATTCTTAAGATTATTACGTGACTTAAGACAATGTAGAAAATCGAAGCAAATAACGAGGGAAAAAAGGCGGTTGGGTGTGTGGTAAAAGTTAAACGTAACGCATGGATATGTTCTCTCATTCGTTCAGATCCCCATGGTCGAACGGAAATTAAACAGCGATAATAAAAATTCTGTCGTTTTTTCCTTGAAAAACCAAATCGGTGGCTTGGCACGAGCTCTGCAAGTTTTTCAGGTATGATGTTTAACGATATTACACAGGGCCTAATATCCACCCACTCTCACGCACGTCTGTCTCACCCACGTTAGGGTCAGAAAGGAAATAGAATTTTGAAAATTTATTCTTGCATGCATATAAATAATAATACATTCTTTAATCTGTCATTTTTCATAAAAATATGTTAACATTACTTTATTAACGCTTACCTTTCTTTAAAAATCGATATTTGATTATTTACCAACTACAGAATCCTTATAGACAATAAAGATATCTGTAACATCTTTTTAAAGTGTCCTCTAACATTAGAAACATTAGAATGCGTAGAAACTTTCATGAAAATGTACCAATGTATTTTTAAATCAATATTCCGTAAAGGACCTGGGTGTGAATGTTATTCATATCGAGTCACGGAAATCATTGCGTCGTGGCTCCGAATTTGAAATTCTCGTCGATGTTGAATGTGATTCGAAAAGAATGGAACAGTTGACGAGGATGTTGAGCCGAGAAGTCGCTGCCATTAATTTGGCACAGTACGAGCAAACAGGAAATATTCCTCATGCTCCATCACTTTCCGCCGCTCCGAGTTTTGGTAAGTCATTAATAGATTTTATTTCTTCGTTAAATATCATTTTACATTGTTTAAATTTTGTACTTAAACTTCTAACTTTTTTACTATCAATTAGAAGTTTATAATACCTACTATTAATTTTTACTAAAAATTTAAAATTTAAACGATCATTTCATCGAACGATAATTCTTTTAAAGCAATTTCGTTGAATGATCTTTTACAATCAAAATCACTTTGAAATTAAAAAGCTTTCCTGAACCAGCAAGTGCTGATCATGTTCAAACTTTATAGATTTCAGCGAAGTAGATATGCCCTGGTTTCCACGAAAAATATCGGATCTAGATCAAGCTCAAAATGTGCTCATGTACGGATCCGAATTAGACGCGGATCATCCAGTACGTTTCTGTTTTCAAACACTGTTCTCTCTTGTTAAATACGTAGTACCTAAGATATATGCAACATTATATAATACGTTTAATTCAATATTTCCAGGGCTTTAAAGACCCGGTGTATCGCAAACGTCGTGTGCAATTCGCGGATATCGCAAACAATTACAGATAGTACGTTAAAAAAAAATCAATGATCTTTTACGAAAAAAAATATAATTATCAATTACGATATAAAACACTACTAACATTAATTTTCTTTTAGTGGTCAACCAATTCCTCGCGTTCAATACACGCCAGAGGAGATCAGAACTTGGTTCGTAAATTTACATCAATGCGTTACGTATTTTCTTTTTTTTTTTTTTATTTGTTAAAAAGATGTTTTAACATTGTTCCGATAAAAATAAATATGTTCGTTGTGTGTATGAAGTTTCTGATAAAACTTTCGCTCATTGCAAGAAATCTTCGTACGTGCTTCGACAAACATGAAAGCAATCTATGACGAAGAAGAACAAATTCTTTTGATAACTTCGCAAGATTTCCCTTCAATTACGAAACGATATCCTAGTTCTATCAGTATAACAAGGAAAGTTTCAACTTCACCCGTCGCCTACGGGACGTATGAATCAGCCAAGATTGGCCCGCGTTGAATGCACTCCTTAATTGTCCTTATTTAATTTATCCTCGCGATCTTCGAGTGACTTCCCTAATACGATTTTCTCCAGATGTGTATACGAGAAGCGTGGATAAGTAATCTAGTTTCGTTGAAACCTACGAGACATATTCAAGAATGAGAAGATTTAACGCCAATTAATTTAAAACTTAACATCATCGTTAATAATATTTATAAATAATTCTTTGCAATTTTATGTTCTTAAAATTTATCAATGAATAACATTCGTTTCCTATAGGGGAACCGTTTTCCGCGAATTGCATCAGCTTTATCAAAAACATGCTTGTAAGGAATATCTGGAAAATTGGCCAAAACTGGAGAAATACTGTGGCTATAGGTAAAGATTCTTCTTAGGATTAAATCAAATGATATCAAACATAATTAATTTAAATAAACTTCATATTTGATCGACAGAGAGGATAATATACCACAGTTGCAAGATGTAAACGTTTTCTTGAAGCGTAAGTATACGATTAATGATAATAGAATTATTTTAATTAGAAATGAATGAAAAATAAACAAATACAATTTGTCTATGATACTATTAGGAACAACTGGATTTCAACTTCGACCCGTAGCAGGCTACCTTACACCAAGAGATTTTTTGGCCGGTCTTGCTTTTCGAGTATTTCATTGTACACAATACATTCGACATTCATCCGATCCTTTTTATACGCCTGAACCGTGAGTAATTTAAAAGTGTATAAATCATATCAAATAACATAAATATGTTGTGCACACAGCAAATAGATAATATAAATAAAAGTAAAGCTAGATAAAATTAAAGAATAAAAATAAAGCTGTAAACATATTTTCTTACCATTTCTTCTTTGTATTTTTCCTTTTTTCTTTTAACTCTATTGAATTATTTATAGGGACTGCTGTCACGAATTGTTAGGGCACATGCCGCTTCTGGCGAATCCAAGTTTCGCACAATTCTCGCAGGAACTTGGACTTGCTTCGCTTGGAGCTTCGGACGAGGACATCAATAAATTGGCAACTGTAAGTGTTCTATGCTCCAGGTAGTTTCTTACTTTCATCAAAAATTTATAAGAGCTCATTTCACGAGTGTAAAGAACGTCATATTAAAGAAATTAATATTTATAAATAAGAAGAAAATTCAGAAAACAAGAAGATTGTATTTTGTTTTAGCTTTAATTGTAGAAGTCATTAACTATGTTGAGCTCGTCCTTGTTTTATTTTTGTCTTTAGCTCTATTTCTTTACGGTGGAATTTGGATTATGCAAGCAAGATGGTATACTTCGCGTTTACGGAGCTGGTTTATTGTCTTCTGTCGCGGAACTGAAACATGCTGTGTCCGTTCCCGAGAAGACGTTCCGATTCGATCCAGAAGTGACTTGCAAGCAAGAATGCATCATTACCGCGTTTCAAAATGCGTACTATTACACGGATAGCTTTGAAGAAGCAAAAGAAAAAATGCGGTAATGTTGTACATACTTTATTCTTCCGAAATTCTAAAATATTAAAATATAATAAAAATATTCCAAAATTCTAAAATATTGAAATAAAAATACAATAAAAAAGAAGATTGTAAAAGGAATATCAATTTCTGCTTTTAGAACATTTGCGAACCAAATACAACGACCATTTGGATTACGCTATAATCCCTACACTCAATCAGTGGAAGTTCTCACGGACGCTCAAAAAATCACGGCGGTAGTCAGTGAACTTAGGGGTGACCTCTGTATCGTCTCAAATGCCCTAAAGAAGATACACGAACAGGATGATACGGTGGACGTTGAGAGGATAACCAGCCTTTTAACGCAAGGTATCGAATTACCTCAAGATTCTTCGTCTTCTGACAGCGATGTTGATAGAAGTCCTAATGTCGAGTCGCCTGAGAAACCAATAAAAAATCAGAATAAAAACTATTCTTCTGACAATATTGTTGTTAACTCATGAACGTTATTTCTGTAAACGTAGTCTGCGAATAGAACTATCAAAATTAGAAATGATTGTACGTATATAATTATAGAGTTTAGCAATATGTATATGAAATATGCACAGTTGTCTATGCTTGTAGAAAACGATATTTAAATTAGAAGATTACTAAAGTTGCACTGAGTAGAATGAAAATGAATAAAAAATTATGTGAAGTATAGTAATCAAAAGTTTTAATATACTAACATATTTACTTTCATCATAAAATATCCTGTTACGTGTGAATCGTATTGTTTTAAAAATCTCGTCTGATTTTCTCTTTGATACGGTCTATGACATGTTTTTTGATATTAACAATTATCTTTTTTTGCTTTATCGAGATCCCTGCGACAAATACGTATCAACAATCGATAAATAAAATTCAAAAATTTATAGTTAGCATCTTATTTCTTTTATTTATCAAACATCAAAATATCATGATTATTTTTGTAATATATTAATTTCATATATTGTTTAAGTTATATATGTATATATTATGCGTATATAAATTAAATATCATACTTTAAGAACTGTTTCTATGAGTAAAATAACTGTAGTACGTTCTAGATAGATTCGTACTTCGACACACCTGTTTCATCTGTTGCGTTCATATTTAGTTGCATACAATCGAAGGTTTAAAGAGGTTATCAAAAAGTTAACTGTTAATAAAATACAAAAAAGGAAAATGTATTCAAAACGCCTTAAGTGTATTCATATTTGGCACAAATAATTCTACTAATAATTGGGCAGTACACTTTAATAAATGTTAAATAAACGAAAAGACATTTATCAGATGAATGAAACAATATTTAATTAACGAAATGACTAATCGGACAAATATTCCTTAAAAGAAACAATGTTATACCTTCCACTACCAGGAAGGTAATATATGAGTCTGGAATATTTAAATGAATGTATGTTTTCTTAATAACTATATTTTAAATACGCTTGCATATAAATATGGCGCAAATACAAACTTCGAGCGCGGATGGACTACCAAAGCACTTTGTCACCGCTATGCGTACACTTTTTGATATAATGGATGACCAAAATACAGGGTTTGTAAAATTTTCTGATATTGAAGGCAGATGGCAAGATGATGGAACGCAAGGTCTACCAAAAGGTGTTTTGGACAGCCTTAAAAAAGTCACTCCACCTAATGGATTATTGTCTTTTGAAAGATTTTGTACAGGACTCAAGATATGTTTGCTACAAATTCAAACAGATAGTGACTCTAAAAAACATGATGGTCAACCAAATAGACCGCCATCTGCTCCAATACTTATACCTGATAATCAAAATAAAACAACATGGACATCTCCAAATACAGCAACTATTAGGCCAAATAATGCTATATCACAGCAACGTACCTTAAGCATGCCACAATTATTAGCAGGTCGAAAAGATGTTAATCATACACACTTAGAATTAATGGATAGTAGAGGTGGTCCTGAATTGAAGCTAAATAAGGCATATGGACCTCCTAAACCTCCACGGATGGGTGCTGCATTAGAAGCTAGAACTATTAATTCAGAAAGAAATTTTGACAAATCTGAAATTCGAACTGTATTACAAAATTGGCAGATGGGTTTGTTAATGAATGATGATAAAGCTATAGAAAAAAGACAATTATCAACGGTAAATTATAGATCTGACACTAGAACATTATTAAGACCAACCAGAGTATTGGGAGATGGTAAAGCAGTTGAGTTGCAAAATAATCAAGTTGGCTTACAGCCTAAGAAACCATTAAATAGACGCAGAGAACCTAGACGTCATACGTTGCAGAATGGTATTGATTACAATATGGTAAAGATATTCTTCTCTAGGATTCCCAACTAACGATTGGTGATTGGTTTTGGGTATGCATGAAATTTGGTGATTATTAACATGTAGACCATAATACAATTTATACTAAATTCAGCATAGTATATAATATGTTTATATTATATTTTAATACATAGTTGGGAAGCCTGTTTCTTAATTTTTAACAGCAGTAACTATTTGATAGCTCTCTTTTTTAGATGAAAAGAATGAAACAGATTGAACAAGAGAAAGATGTATTACTTCAAGGTCTAGCTGCAGTTGATAAAGCTAGAGAATGGTATTTGAAACAAATATCTGCTACTCAGGAAAAAATTAAACATCTTGGGCGTATGGGATCTCATGTGGTATCAAATATGCTTTCCAACTTTATAAAATTATCTGAAATATTCTGTGTTAACGTGTATGATTTTATTTAGGAACAATGGACAGAGGCACAGCAAGAACGTTTAGAATTACAACGTGCTCGCGTCTTAGAAGTCAACAGACACTTAGCTGCACTAATAAGTAGTTGGGAACGTGGTGGACTTCCTCTTCACATGAATCTTGCGTTTCTTAGCACTCCTACATCGACCCAACTTCAGCAAGATATATTATCTAGGTTAAAGCAACAGAATCATAGACTAACAGAGGTAAATGAAATAAATATATATGTAATTAATAATATATTTAATTCACATTTGACGATTAAAAATTAGGAAGTCAGTAAAAAAAGCCAACGGATAGCATTACTTGAACAAGAAAAGGACAACTTGGTACGAGAATTGTATAATAGACAAAGTGGTATAGTTCAATCTAGAAGAGCAACAATGATTCATGAACAACATGATCAAACATTCATGTAAGGTACTAACAGTTAATATTTTAATTCTTTTATGTATAACATAAAATTATATTTTACATAAATATTGTTCTTTTAGAATATAAATAAACAAGAAGATTTACCTTTGATGATATAATGAATTACATGCAAAATATCAGATACACATATATCTAGAAAAATAATTAAAATCATTGTTATAAACTTTTATATCTGTTATATGTGTTGAAATATTTTAAATATCTGCATAAAACATGAAATATTTGTGTGAAATATTCACAGTACTAATACTCGAATGTACTTATACATTGTAAATGAAGTCTTAAATTTTTTATAATCCGTCCAAGTCTCAAAAGAGAGATTATGTTCTTCTCTAATAAATTATTATTCTAATTAATAAATTGCCTTGACCTAATTTTTTATTTTATTACGATATCATAATCTTAGTTTATACGCAAAATTAAATATGTTCGTATTACATTTTTGAAACTGATTATCCTTATCTTATAAACAACTATCCACAAAAGAAAATTGAACGAATAAATTATACACGTTCCGTACTGTAAACTGTAAGCTACATCTACTTCCGGAATTATGACTGTACGTGTCAAATGTTATCGAACTTTAAAATGTGATAATGTACTTCCCTAACCACCCAGCGTTACTATTGGCACTAAATTTACTTAAAAAAATAAGTGTCATTACAAAAATGTACAATATAAGAGAAATATGGTAAAAATTAACGTTCGTTGGCATTTTATTTCAACTATAAAAGATATTTTAGTTACTTACAAAAGTAAAGAGCTAATAATGTTTTCTGCCGACCATGTGTTCTGTTTAGAAAAACATGTGCGGAATCATATAACGGACTGGGGCTAATCCCGACCGATATAACGTTCCCTGTCTCAGGTCATATTAGTCCGGAATCTCAAGACCTCTCTCGTTATTTTGTCTAAAATAATATATAAATGCACAAATGAACGATATTGATAATAAAAAATTATAACAAATTTTGAAAAAGTACTAAATTTAAAATTAACTGAACAAAAGTCCAAAATATAAATAATAATTCATATCGGTAGAACAAATGAAATTGTAAATCTATATGTATATGTTTGTTAGAAATATATTATATATAGTCAGTGGCTTATTTTACACCCCACGCATGGTTCTTTGGCTTAGTAGAGTCTGGTGGGTATACTAGCTAAGCGCGTTAGTCCGCATTTAGTTAATAGTCATAGTCATTAAGAGGCAGTTGCCTCTGCTGCTGTCCGGAGTCGGCTAGTCGGAGTTCAGTTCAGTTGACGCGTTCAGCGAGTATAGATGCTAGCTGACATAGGGAACGTTGCATTGGAGCACAAATTTTATCCTCGCGATAGTGAATGTGTAAAGAACCCCCTTTTAACGAACGACCTTTAACCCTACTGAGTTCAAGTAATAGCCTAGCTGCAGGCGCTGGTCGTCGATCTCTGTCTTCTGACATCTACAATTATCTGGATTATCGTTATCGGAACAGTTCTCCCCCGGATTTTGTGAGAGCTTTAAGCCCATCATGCTACCAAGACTGATACTACCAATAATTCTGCTACTCGTTATTATAGGTACGAACACGTTACTTGCGTTTCACTAGAATTTTCATACTGATTAAACATATCAGAGAGGATCGAGAAATCGATATTTTGCTTACGATAACGTAATTTATATGGCGGTATGTTATCACTATGAAAATTTTTCTTCTAATTTAATCGGCATATTGCAACTGTATTTTATCATTTCATAATAACTTACTTCTGCATGCGTGTCTTCATCAATTGTATAAAGATGACCTTAAGAAATATAAAAATTACATTAATACATTTTTAAATTTGAAGGCGATAGATTTTATTTTAAGGTCATGGAAAAGTTATTTTCGTATGATATTATTTGTACTACTTTCCTTAAACAACGTTGATTTAAATGTTGAATAGTAACTCTCTAATAGTAATTTACTTAAGATAAAATAAATGCAACCGTTCTGTTAAAAGAAACATCTCGGTTCATTCACCGAGTAGACAGATAATGTGTCACGATAATAAAGCGTACTTTCAATGATGCACATTCCGCGTTTCTTCTCGATTGTACCTTATGAAATATGTTTACAATTAAATTTCGTCTTTTGCATGAACAAGAAGAAATATATTTAAGCATGAATTTATTTATAGAAGAAAATAATAGTAATTTCTGATGCATACCCGAAAATCAATTAACCCGCGCAGACATGCTTTATCTCGTTAAATGTTTATCAATCTAGACAAGTGGGAAGTGCAGTGGACACATCCGGTACAAATATGTAGTTGCCTCTGGCAGCGTGTTTCTTCGTAGCATTATCTTTTCAGGGTAAATAAACTGCAGATATATTCACTGCGAACAGAAAATGTTGTAGAAAATGTGCAATTTATAACTTATTGTTTCAATATTTATCGCATTATTTCGTAATACAAAATTATTTTTATTACTAATAAAGTTTGTTCTAATTCCAAATGAATATTCATTTAATTTCACTAAGTTTTAATCCACTTAGTTATATTAGAAGTTACATAATTGATTTCATATAGAGACTTATTTATCATCTACTGATAGAAGTAGTATTCTTTTATGCTATTGTCATTTAATCCGATGGTAAACGTTTTATATTCCGCTTATTGTTGTTTCCAGAATCACACATAAAATACAATATGAATATTGTATTAAATTATATATTTTCATACTACTCTTAATATGTATTAAATTATATATTTCCATGATATTCTTAATAAAAAAAGGGAACTAAAAAATTAATTACTTTGTGTCTTTTTTATAGTTTAAATGATATACATATTGATATTTATAAAAATAACATAAAAGATACGACGAATAGTTAGAATTTGATTATTATGTGCTGTATCATATTGTTATATGTATATTTACTAAGTACTTCGATTTGGTTTAAATAATAGGCACATTATCAAAAGCTTGCGATTTGGATCAAATGCAATATGGATGTCGTATCTATAATGCACAATGCAGATGCGGTTACGGTTGTTCTTCTGAATACAGATACAATACTAACGAAGATTGCAAAGAAGCGTTAAGAGGTAATAACTTACCTGTTAATTTTATCCACGACATTAAATATCACTGTTAAACTTGTTCATAGATACTTAGACGAATACATATAAGTATTCAATATTAATACTGAGAGAATTAACCGATTGCTTTTTATTATTTTATTATTATTTTTTAGGTAGGCGTAGTGATATATGTTATAGATCGAAACCTTGTTTGAATGGAGGATCATGTTTGCAAATATCATCAGATCCTGGATTTAAATGTCGCTGCGAAGGAACTGGTTATTACGGACCACATTGTGATAAACGTTAGTAATTATTATCATCGATAAGTAATGATTATAATCATAAACTTTGCAGACATATATTTTACTAACTAATTGATAACTATTCAATTCGGTACTAAACACAATCTGCTCAATTTTCAGTTATTTAAAAATGTTAATAATATATTATTCAAAATTGAAGTATTGTTTTTGAAGTATTGAATTGAAGTATTGAATTGAAGTATATAAAATTGAATAAGACTAGTAAATAGAAAATATAACAAAACATTTTTTAATGAAATGATACATTTTGCAGCTTGCCCAGGACCAAATAACCAACGTTTTCGAGGACCATTTCCTTACGAGTGTGTTGTAATTTAATTTGTAATTTACCTTTTTTTAATCTATCAAAAATCAAATACATATTAAGTACAAAAAATAAACATATTTTGCGAAAATTTACACATCTTTGTACATACATAATAAATATATTGTATATATGATAATCGTCTTGTTACTAGAAATATTTTAAAAAATTATTAAAATACTACTTACAAATAATATTCATTAAAAAAATTATAATCTATAGAAATCTCAATTTGTTATATATTGTTTAAATCTCTGAAATTCATAGAAAGAAGATATATCTGATATTTTCACTGTTTATTCATCAATAATTTTACAATATGTATGCACATGATGTGTTGGATCCATGAGTTTTTGACAAACGTTTAGTTTGTATCGTGCTTGCGTTAATGCAAGTTGTTATTTTACTCCTTTCCTATTTTCTACATAATGCCACGTGTACCTCGCTTGCTGTTTCTGATGGCAGAACTTATAAAATGCAATTTTTTTATTCTTCGCATAAGTACTTTTTGTAATTTTTTGTATTATATATCGACTGAATCCGTAATACTAGTTTGATTTTATAACACGAGACTGCATCAGGAACTTAACGACATGTATATATATTTATATGTTATATATTATCTAGGACAAACAATTGGCCAGTTGTAACTTTTTTTACAAATTCATAGACATTTTCTCCTCAATAGAGTAACATGTTACAATAATTTATATAGTAGAAAACACATGTCTGCTTCTTCCATTAAAAAATTATGTAAATTCATAAATTTTAGTAAATAATACGAATGCGTCTTCTTCGATTTTTTTGATTATATGGCCAATTAATATTATCACATATGCCGTGTATTGCATATGATTTCATTTCCGACTATTATACATTATTTTAACTGATCGCAATACACATTACGGGTAAAACAAATATTCTAAAGAAAATAATATAAATAAAGATTTTATCAACATGTACGTATATTTTTATAAAGACAGACGGGACATTATCTTTGAACGTTACAAACAGACAGGTTGTCAAACAGTTCAATGTTAAATTATTTTCCAATCTATAACTGTACCTATAATAAACTGAATGAAGGAAATATCTTAAAATTTTTTATTGAAAAGAAAATGTAGTAATTAAAAGTTTTAATAATATTTCGTAACCATTGTTCACAATTATAAAAATCTACATGCTTTTCGAAAAAAAGATTTTCAGTAAATTTTTTAAAGAAATTGAAATGGTTCAGACAAACTGCCTTTCTGATTATCTTTATACTTTATAAGATGATAAAATGACTCGTTGTGTTTTATTTTATATTCTTTTCTCAACAAGAAAATCCAATTGATTATTATCAATGTTATTATTGTTGTCACATTAGTCTCAATTTGGCAAATGTTTACGATGCTTATAATAATAATAATCTCGGTACCGAAGTGTATGGACTAAAAACAAGTAATGTAGATTACAATTTGGATAAGCAATAATCCTTTCAATACGACATTACTCTTGGATGGCACCAGGGGTATGCTGGGATCTTTCCTGACTAAATCCACGTGTGCCGTCTGGCCCTCTTGGTTGTCTAACTATTGTTAATTTAGGACCTGTGTCTTCCAAAGATGTAGTACGTAAACGGCTGATCAAACGTTCGGGTCGTTGTTGAACTGCATCACTGTATAATAAAGAAAATAGAATGATATATCAATTAATCAAGATATTAACGAAAAGAAAATATTTAAGTAAACAATTTAAAAAATTCACCTTAATCGCGTTACATTGCATGCAGATGATTTACCAGTACGCTGATTCGTAATCAAAACGAATTCAACCTGATCTCCTGGTTGAAGTATTGCATGATCTCGAACTTCGCTCATGTGGAAAAATAACTTCTTACCCTCATCAACTTCATAAGCAAGAAAACCGAAAGGACCTTTCACTGCATCAACTGTTGCTCTCCTCTTTTTTCTAACTGCTACGATATTACAGGCGTGACCTGCCGAATCAACCTGTAATTGTACAGGATCACCAGCTTGTAACAATTCTCGTTTGTTGACAAGTCCCATAATTCTAAATTCATATTCCGGAGTATCTTCGTCTTCATTAGCGGCATTTATCTTTATTAAGCCAGCATACTCTGCCTGGTCAGGATTTGCACTTCGTAAAGGTCTAATAACCGTTCCATCAAGTACTTCGCTAACTGGCGTTGGCCTAGGAATGCTTCCACGAGGTAGCAATGTGACGTATTCCGCGGCTACGCAACCACCATTACCTCTACTATTTCCAGAACTGATCGTACATTCAATATCAGCTCCTACTTCCAAAGCTCCTACATCCCCTTCAAAATTGCTAGAAAATAGAAATGATGAAAATATAAAAAGATGATAAAAAGATAGAAATATAATAATATTTTCTTAAATACGTATATGTTAATTATTCACCTGAAGTGAAAAAATATTTCTTTATCATGATTTACAGTCTCAATAAAACCAAATCCATCTTTAAGTGCAGCAATGAAACCTTGACAAACTTGATCATTCAATTTTTTGTTGCCATTTTGAGTTTTTTCACCAGAAGAGTTCATTAGAGATATGTCAACTGCAACAAGTTCTTTATTTCGTTTTACTTGACAGATACTAAATTGAACCTGAAACACTAATACTTTAAAAGAAATGCATTAATAAAATTACAATAGTACATATATATATATATTAATATACCTTGTCACCAAGTCTTGGAATATTCTTAGGATCACAATCTTTACTAAAGAAAATAACGCTCTTTTGTTGATTTTCTTTTGTATATCCAATAAGACCAGGTACAACACCATTTATACCCTGAATTATAGTACCCAATAAATCTTTTTCTATAATTGTTTCGAATTGAACTGTACCAGCTGGTAAATGCTTCAACCTAATTGCACTTTGTCGATTGTTTGAAAATGAAGAGGATGGATCCTAATATAAAGATAATTAATTAAAATATATTTAAAATGTTAAAATAATTTCGAAACATATGTATATCATACTTACTTGAATTACTGTGAATTCGACCTCATCTCCTACACTAATTTCTCTATCAACATCCAAGACTTCATTAAAGTGGAAAAAAAGTCGTGTATCTCGATCTACACAACGAATAAAGCCAAATCCATCTTTGAGTGTAACTATAATGCCTTGTTCTCGTCTTTCGCCGGATACAGTAAAAGATTCAGATAACAATAAAATTTCAGTAGCTCTCTTGAGTTGATCTCTAGTATCTGTAGCAATACGAAATTGGACCCAGTCCCCATGTCTACAAATATAAAGTCATAATTATTTCAATGAAAATTAAAAATGAATAAAAATATTCTATAAATATACCTGAGAGTAAAATCTCCTTTTTGATCTTTATCACCAAAAGGAATCTCAACTTCAGAATGCTGTGTATCTCTATATCGAATTCTTCCAGGCAATGGATCATTCTGATGACGAGCTGCAGTGCCCCTTTCCAGAGGTTTCAATACTTGTCCTTTTACTACTTCATTGCTAACTTCTTCAAAAACTATTGAACCAGGTGGTAGCTTAGTAATATTACAAGCTACTTCTTTTCCCTGAAATATTAACAATAATTAAATTTATCTCAACGAAACGCGCACGATAATTGTTCATGTAGAATGAAGAAAATATTTATACATTTCGTATTTGTATTGTAAATTCAACGTCATCTCCTAGTCTAAGTTCTTCTTTCATAGATTTAGCTTCGCTAAAGTGAAAGAAAATTTCCTTAACTACGTCAGCACGTTCAATGAAGCCGAAATTTTCTTTCATCGAGCATACAACTCCACGATAGCGAACTGGACGTGTTGGATTTTCCAACCTTACATGACATGCACCCAAATTTCCACTGTAATTAGCAGTATTGCATTAACTCTGTATTCTGCGACAATTTATAATGTATAAATATGATAAAAGTTGATAATAAATAAATGATTTACCGTTGAGTCTCAGCAATTTGAAATGACACTCTGTCACCAGCACGTAAAGTAACATTTCCTTCAACATCATCTTTCGTATATGGCAGAAAAAAACACTCTCCACGATTTTCATAACTGATACGTCCTTGTGTATCACCATTTGTATGCAATTCTGTTGTTACATTTCCAAGTACTCTTTCTTCATTTAGCACCTATATCATATATTTATGTGATTCTGTGCTCCTTATATATTATATTTAATACTTTAGATAATTTTTGTGTAAATATATTAATGATATACTAACCACTTCTGGAGCAATCTTACTAACAATACTAGCAATAGGTTTGCCTGTCCGTCGATCATAAGTCATTTCAAATTCAACGGGATCTCCAATTTTTAAGTGTTCTATATTACCACTAAATTGGCTAAAATGAAAGAACAACCTTGCTTGTCTTTCACAGCACTGTATAAATCCATATGAATGCTAAAAGAAAATAATAGTATTGTAATTATTATATGGTAAAACAACTATTAAAAAGCTAATAAAGAATAAGTAACAAGATCCTTACTAATAATTTTTCGATTATTCCAGTTTCTCGAGGTCCTTGATTCTCAAATTGATCTTGATAAGTAGAATTATTTGTTGTTGGCTCTTCTGTATAGCCAGTACTTCCTTCCATTCCTGTAAATGTTCCAAAAGGAAATCTGGTAACTTCATTACGTGACATTTTAGTGTTGGGATAACCGGCATATTGTATAGAATTTTTTCCATTCCCAGGAGGTGAATCCATCATATAATGATCACCACTATGATTGGTACCATTTCTGTAGATATTGGTTGTTGGTTGATGTGATCCCGTTATAACTTTGGGACTTGGTATAGTCATAGACTTGTAATCAAGTATTGCAGGGTCAGAGTTCATGATTGGCGGCTGGAACGTTTTCCACTGAGGATTTTTGGACATTGTCTCGAATTTGCAGAATTTTAAATGTAATCTTTACGTATAAGTTTTCCTCTTTTCTTGAAACAATTACTTAATTTCTTTTATGTTCACTTCTGTTTCACCACAATATATATTTATATATATATACTTATATTTAGAAATTTTTAGTCTTTTCAATTATTTAAGTGTTAACATAGATATCACAGAACGGTTCTTGGTACCTTATATCTTCATTCACTATTATAATGTTACAAGAACTTAATACAGAGGAAGAGAGGCTCTTTAAAATGCTGCAGAAATGCAGGCTCCTTTGTGACCAAGAAGTGGAAGGAAGGGTTTGAAAGTATTTTGACGTTTGTCATAAATTATTTATAAGAGAGTACCCAGGCAACTCTGTGCAAAATTGGCACTCTTTAAATACGAATACAAGTGTTTTATTAGTCAAGAGCAGCACAATCTCAGCCGCAATCACAATCACGGTCACTTTATAGCTCACCTAACTCTTTCTCACAAAGCTTGTGTACACAATATACAAATGAACAATATAGTTAATGTTGATTTACGAATTAATACAAGTACAAAATTCTTAGCACGTCATAGACCATTGATACTTTCCATATATGTATGCACATGTTATAACAACTGTTTGATATTTACTCAATTTAGCGTACACTAGAACAACTGTGTTCCTTTTAAACAGCAGTCATCCTTTATAAAAGGAGTAAATCAAAAAACATAGGAGATTTAAAAGATAAATGTTGACTTGAAAATCCTCAGATGTCTTCAATGCGTGCTGAGTGTGATTGTGTTGTTCCAATATTTCTATGTTAGCGTTTCTTTCTTCAGCATTTAATTATGGAATTTACAGTGAGCCTTGGTTTCAAAAATGTCCTAAACTAACAATTACACAAGCTGAAATAAAAAACATTTATTTAATTAATATAATCCAGCACACATTAGAGAAATAAAAATGTATTATCATAATGATTATGAGCTTTATGAAAATAATAGTAAGTAATTACTTTTCCTCTTAATACTTAAAAAAGCATCTACAATAATATACTAAGTTATATGATTATATCTAAAGAAGATTCTTTATGTTAAAATAAAAAAATAAACAATATTGTTTATGTATCTTAGATAAAGTATTATACATTTGTAGTAATAGATTATTTTATAAACATATTGGAATATAAAATTAAATTATTTGTTTCTTATTATGATTTTAATTTGTAATTATAAACTTTTACAACATGCAAAATTAAAAAATTAGCTATCATAAATCAGAACAGAAGTGTTATTCTAACTAAAGTAAAAAAATTGTTATCAGAAATAAAAAGAATAATATCTCATTTGTATATATAGGTTATTATATATATTTTTCAACCCACAATATTCAAATATATATAGCATTCTAAAATATATTTCTTGTGATCTATTTGTGGTTACATATGAGATAAATAAGATATTTACAATAATTGACTGCCAGTTTGACATTGACTTTTTATACTCCAACTGGCACTGTTTCTTCATTGCCTTTTATTTATTTTTCGAAATTTTACTCGTATTCAAAGCCTCATTTATCGATATGATGCAATTAGTCAAAACATAGTTATCATTAATTTATCATTTAAATCATAATTCTCGAACTTTACTGTAAATGGGATGCAATACTTGAACACCCACATGAAAATGTTTGAAATATATGTAACAATATAAGCAATTACAAGTTTCTTTAAAAAGTAAATAAACAGACGTTTCATTCAACGGAATTTCATGCAAGATAATATTGAATTCAATATAACGATAACTGTTTATAGGATGTACCTAAACAAAAATCTGAAATATTGTACATGCTCGCTAGTTACGAGAATCTAATTTTTTATGAGGTCACTCGTTTCTTTGGGTATCATAATGATTTATCAAAGTCCCGTATGCATATAAAATATATATACAATTGTCAGGAAGCAAATAATTCTGCTAATTATAAATGTTTCATTGCAAAGCTCATAATCAAATAGCTTTAAAAAGATTTATAAAACTCACCACGACACAGCACAGCACTGACGACATGCCGCCATGTTGAATGTCAACATTCAGTATTCACATACAAAACAGGAGCAACTACAGAGTGACTACAGCTAAAAATTTGGGTTCATAGCCATCTGGTAATATTGCTACAAAAACAATTATTCGCTAGTCCTATTAACCGTAGAAAACTATAAATTTATATTTAAAAGCTAATAAATTTAATAAAGAATAAATAATTGGTTGATTATAGAAATAGGGTGCACATGAAAATGAAAGTGTGTTCTCAACATAACGTTTTTGAGTTATGTCCAGGAAAAATTTAAACCAATGATATTAAAGTGCGTTCGAAAAACTGTCAAGTTTAATATTTTGCCGAAGTGTTTCAAAAAAGCAAGTGTTTCATATTTGTGTTAAAAATACAAAATGGAGTGTTCTTTAACCCTTAGAGTGCTATGGACGCATATATGCGTCTGGCGAAAGCTATCGGTGTGGACTAAGGACACATATATGCATTTTTTGTAAGTGTCCGGCATGGACTAAGGACGCATATATGCGTTTGTCAATTTTTCCGAACACCTACGCAGAAGTAATACTATTACGTTTGTGTGAGATAAATATAAATACATTTCTTAGTAACGGCAGTAAACAAATGCCAATAATGCCTCGTTATAACAGTTGTCTAGTTCCGTACCGGACAACGACCAAGGACACCCAGAAAATCCGCGGCATAAAGACAATTTATAACAACTTTCAAGAACCTCAGAGGCTCGTCACATACCGGAGAGTCCAAGATAATGCCCTATATAATCTATATTCACGATAGTGCCCTATATAATCTATTTGATTATCTTTTACTTGTGACACTCTTCAAAATGGCAAGTAATATTGAAGAATATTTTACAAGAGACGACAGCGAAATAGAAAATTACGATTCAGGCGATTTGATGAATGATGTGTACCAGTTTGATCCACCATCATCAGACAGTGAAGAATCGATCGATCAAAGAATAAATAGAAAACGGCCTAGAACACTAAGTACATCTTCAGAAGAGAAAAGTTCAGAAGTACCTGCAAATATCGAGACCTCTTACCAAACAGGAATATTATTGTGATCAAAAACGAATTTAATGCCTAAACTACATATCTTTGACGAACAAAATGCAGGAGTGAAAGAAAATCTGAACCCAGAATCAACACCTTTAGACGCCTTTCAAATGATATTTTCGGAAGAATTAGTCGCTCAAATTACCGAGCAGGCAAACAATTATTTCAAATGCGTACAACAGTGTACAGCATATAAAAAGAATTCCCTTTTGACGAATTGGAAGGATGTTTCAGTCCCTGAAGTGTACGTATTTTTATGCATTTCAATGCTAATGCCGCGTTCGAAGAAACTGTCTTTGAGAGAATATCGGTCTACGGACGAACTGTTGAAAGGCAATATTTTCCGCAAAATAATGGCACGAGATCGATACGTGGTATTATTACAAATATTGCACTTTAACTTACAAATATTGCACTTTAGCGACCAGTAATCGATAAATTAAAGATTTCTTTTTCGCAATCATTTGTACTTTACGAAAATCTATGCGTCGACGAAAGTCTATTGCTGTACAAGGGCAGATGTTATTTTAAACAGTTTATACCATCCAAGAGAAGTAGGTTCGGCATTAAATTATTTCTCCTTAGTGACTGTAAAACTAATTATGTATTGGACTTCATAATTTATACTGGACAAAAAACAAACATTAGTAGAAGTAACACAGCCATTGGAATTTCTGGAGATGTGATGACGCTGCTTCAGCCATATCTTGGAAAGGGCCATACACTAATTACGGATAATTGGTACATGAGTCCACATTTATATACCTTATTACATGAAAACAAAACCAACGCATTTGGAACCATTCGTAAAAATAGGAGAGATATGCCCCACATGGAAGAAAAGTTAAAGAGAGGAGAAATGTGCTACAGATCGACTGGTATTTTATTGGCAATGAAATTGCATGATAAAAAGGAGGTTTGGATGTTGTCTTCTGCACATGCAGCTGCATTGATTGAATCTGAGAAAAGAGATTATCGTACAGGATTATATAAGAAGAAACCATCATGTATTGCCGACTATAATTCCAACATGGATGCTGTAGATAGAGTTGATATGATTTTGAGTACACTTAATTCCCTATGGGAAACTATAAAGTGGTACAAAAAATTATTTTTCCACTTGTTAGATTTAGCTATATATAATACATATATTTTATATCAAAAATCTACTGCTTCGAAACAAAAATTTAGTGAATTTCATTTAGCGTTGATAAGAGATTTTACGAAAATATTTCCAACGTAGAAGCATGGTAAGAGGAAGGAAGAGAAAGTCTGAGGATTTACCATTTCGTTTAACTGATAGGCATTTTCCATCAAAATGCCCTAATCATGCGAGCACAGCACAATTATCAAGAAGAAAATGTCTTGTTTGTGTGAAAAATAAGAGAAGGAGTGACACGCAATACAAATGCAGAAAATGCGATGTCGGATTATATATTGATAATTGTTTTGCAATTTTTCACACACAACTGAATTATTAACTTATGCTTATAATAAATAATTAATACTAAAAAATAACGCTCTTGAATTATTTAATCTCGTGCAAAAGAATTACTATAACTTATTACGATTTACGCTTCGAATAGTCAATCAACAGAGTTCAGACTAGCGAAAAAGTACTCCGTCCACAGCGATCGTCAGTGCTGGCCGCGCGCCGTCCGTACGGACCGCATAGGCCGCGAGTATTCAGCACTCTAAGGGTTAAATAACATTAAGCATTGGTAAAATAAACCAGTAATGCAATCAATTAAAACTTATAACATGTACAGATCTTTTATTTATATATTTATTTTTGAAATACTTATCCATACTACACAAAGTAACTAGTTATTTATAATTTACAAATAAAATTTATTTTAATATAATATTAAAAATATTCTTGCACATATTATTAAATATTCAATTTTTGTGAAGTTTCTCCATTTGACGTTCTTGAGTATGTACCAAAGTGATTTAATTGATGCCAGTGTAAATCTTCAGATTCTGGCGTTGAAGGAGCAGTAGCACACTCTAAACTTAATTGAAGAGCCCTCCTTAAATCATCGTCCTCATCTGTGTCATCAGTCCCACATGCTTTTTTATTGTAATCATGAAAATCCAAACTTAATTTAAGATATTTATCTACATCGTTTCTTTTATTCTCTTCAAAACTTAATTGAAGTGCTCTTTGTAATTCTGTATTTTCATCATCATCTTCATCACTTTTCTCAATCTTTATGGGAATTATCTTTTCTTGTAACTTGCTTGTCGGTACCTTTTCTTTACTAGTTAATGTTCTGGTAAACGTATTTGATATCACATTATTACTTACAGCTGTAAAACGAAAAATGCTCAATGTAGTAGAAGAAAATATGCTATTGTGAAATAATACAATTTTTTCTAGAATGAACAGTATTTAGAAATTCATTATTTTTTCCTTTGATACCTAGATAATAACCTTTTGGTTTTGTTCTTAATGATGTTTGTCCTTTTGACATAGGTTCTATTGGATTTTTCATAAGAATATCATCTGCAGTACATTGTGGAAGTGCACCAATAACAATAAAAATAGAATAACCTATAAAAATATGTAATTACCTATATATAATTTTGTTCTTTACTATATTTCATTAAGATGTTTACCTTCTTGTAACAACTGGGCTAAATACATTGAAAGATAAGTATCCGATATAAGTTCTGGCCCACTTAGGACTGAATTTAAATTAAACCATTGTCTTCCGATTTTTCTTATAGTGAACCAATGACCTTTGTAGTTACAAATATATGCTTTCATTTCTCTAAAAATAATAGGCCTCTTTTAAATTTATATATAAATAATAAAATTTAACTGTAAGTTTTGATATATAATAATTCATGCATATATGTATATATAATATATAAATATAAATTATATATTAATTTCTCCATTTATAGTGATACAAAATAATTATACTTAATAAATATCTTTAAACTATCTTTTAAATGAATTAGAAACAATTAAGTAACATACAAAGGGTCATTCTGTGCCATTATAGCTGCTGATTCCGTACTATTATATGGAATTAACTCCAATCCCCAAACTTTTAACGCACTACTGATTACTTGAACTGAGAAGTATCCACTGTCATCCATATTTCCTGATGGTTGCTAAGCAAAATAATTAATGCCCTTTACCACATATGATATTATTAGTACATATTAATATTTCAAGTAAAATAAATTGACGAATATCATAGAATGTTTAAAAAGTTATAATTTGTTATTATATTATGCAATATATTGCAATAAAAGATGCAAAATATCTACAATGCACAGATTCACCTCTAGAAAAAGTTTATAATCTTCGCTGTCAACACCAGATTCTGCCATTCTTATCCTCTCCTCTTCATCCATTTGATGACCTAAACTAGCAAGATCTACAGCATTGTAATATGGTCCTTGTAGAAGTGCGTTTAAACAATGTTGTGCGCATAAAAATCCCTCTTGCTGTAATAAACTTTGCCGTTAAAACGATTTACATTGGAGAAAGTCATTAGATGCTCATGTATATTATTATTTACCTTCTCATGAAATATGGTGTCCATTTTATTAACACTTCTTTAACGTAGTGCGTGGGACATATAAATACTATGTAATAACCAAATCATACGTCGAAAAATCTAATAAGATTCTACGATCAAACGTCACCCACAAAAATATTTTTTGGTTATAACCAGAAATGTGTCATATACAGTTGGCGGTACTTTTGGATATTATGATTCACGTATATAGTATTGCCATCTTGTAACAGATTCTATAGTTGTACAATTATAACTAAATGTTTCTCATTTAAAATTCGTTATTCATGCGTACTATTAATAGTTATCTAATTTTTTTATATAGAAAGTATTTATATAGATTAACATAGAAATTATTTTATACATAAATGATTTCTTATATAAGATCTTAATCTGAGCATAATGAAAAAATACAGAAGAATTTTATACAAAATATAAGAGATTAATTTAGATATATTTCGTATAATGTGCTTCCATTGATTATATATGTGTTAATTATAATTGGTATGTTATCGTTATATAATATGATACTAGCTGATACTAAACATTATTTTTGATTGGCTGCGATGTGATTAATACATTATTCATCGAAACGTGTTTCAAGTTTCACCAAAGGAAACCTTAAGCTAAGTACAGAGTACTCTATGAATTTCATCAAAGGATAGAATAGAGACTTTAGAATAACCGAAGCATCAGAAACTATAAAATAATTATTTAAAGGCTTTAGATCGAATTGGAAGCTCGATTCCTACCACGGGATAGAAAAGTATACTGAATTATTGAGTAACAAGCATTAACGAAGAGAGAAGTAGGAGATTGTGAGTGGGCGGGGGCGGCCATACTCAAACAACCGCCGAACGAAGTGCGCGGCACAGCGCAGAAATGAGACGATAATAAACCGCATCATAATCATATCGTTCGTAAACCCGGGGTGGGTGACGGTAACGGGTGTAAGTGCCTCCATTGAAACGAAAAATTACGGAAGGAAGCGAAGACGGAAGTGTGAGAAGTGTTAAAGAAAGAGACGAAAGCGGCCCGACGAATCGAGGTGCAGAGAACGGTATGAGTGCAAAGACAGACGTGAACAGGCGAGTCCTAGCAATACAGGCCAAAAAAAAAAGGCACAAGCCAAGTAAGCGAAAAGGAAAGGGTAACGCTCAAGATGAATCAGAAACATCAGGAGCTCAATGCTCGAAAGCATCGGCTACTCAACAAGGACAAGGATCGGGTTTCTATCAGGATGCTTCTGCACAGAGACCATATTCCAGTGACAATGGAAACAGGTATCTGAGTTTCTTTAATATGTCATTTCATTCTATTACGTTGATACTATTCTAACTGTCATTTTGTTATTTATGTAAATGTCGTTGATATGATATGAAAGTTCCATCAAACTTTCTATCAAAATCTTTTTTACACAGCAACATGGATAAATTTTATCATTCGATAACTCTTGCGAAAAATAATAAATATTTGAATAAATGTATTTCGTTGTGTTCCGTTTTATTATGGAATAATTTAATTTAGAAACTTTTATCTGTTGAAAGCCCCATGAAAATTTTTGAAAGCAGTCTGTAGTCTTTTATTTTTTGATTCGATTTGCTCCCTACCTTTCCTAACTGGAACTTACAGATTGGAACCATGTCATAGCTCAAGTAACGAAACAATGGAGGATGGTGATGAAGTATACAGTAGTGAGGATGAAGAACAAGAGGACAGTAGTGACTATTGTAAAGGAGGATATCATCCTGTTAAAATAGGAGATTTATTCTTAAATCGTTATCATGTAACTCGTAAACTTGGTTGGGGTCATTTTTCAACAGTCTGGCTTTGTTGGGATTTACAGGTATATATCTGATTTATAATAAAAGGCATTTTTTTGTTCGGTAAAATTATAAGTGGAATGTTCTAAAATGTGTTCTTCAGGATAAACGATTTGTGGCACTTAAAGTCGTCAAATCTGCATCTCATTTTACTGAAACTGCATTGGATGAAATTAAATTATTAAAAGATGTGCGTGATATAGATCCCAGTGATCCTAAACGCAATAAAACCGTCCAGTTACTCAATGACTTCAAGATCAGTGGCATTAATGGTTTGCATGTTTGCATGGTATTTGAAGTGCTTGGGCATAATCTTCTAAAATTGATCATCAAATCCAACTATAGAGGAATTCCAAGAAACAATGTTAAACGTATCATCAGACAAGTTCTTGAAGGTCTTGATTATCTACATAATAAATGTAAGATTTTTTTAATGAAAACCGTGTTTAGTATTTAATATTACTATACTGGATACAATTTGTGTCAATAGGTTATTCTAACATGATTTAAATTTGACATATTTAACATTATTATCATAGGAATTAATTACTAGCATAAAATACTTTTCTTTTTTAGGTAAAATTATTCATACAGACATCAAACCCGAAAATGTCCTTGTTTGTGTTGATGAAGCTTATATAAGAAAATTGGCTTGTGAAGCTACAGAATTACATTCACTTGGAATGAAGTTGCCAGTATCTTTAATCTCAACTGCACCAAAGGAATTCCAAGAACCTACTCCTAATTCTAAAATGTCAAAAAATAAAAAGAAAAAGCTTAAGAAGAAAGCGAAACGTCAAAATGAATTATTAAAGAAACAAATGGAACAAATAGAAGAACTTGAAGAACAAGATAAACTCGCAAATAGTACAAGAGCAAATGGAGAATTAGAAACAAATAGTCCAGATCAAGACATAAATACAGAAAGTATAGAAGATAATACTGAAAGCAAAGGTTCACCTGATATCTTAGAACCATCAGCACCTTCATTACACATAAATGGTGTAGATAGTTTAACAGCTGAAGAGAAAGCAGAAAATCAATTACCTCAACAACCTGAAAAAATGGAAAATGCAAACTCATGTGACATAGAGAAGAATTGTGGTGA